GGACACATGGCTGACCCCACAGGTAAATTCTTCGGGGCGAAAAATATTCCCATGAGTTTCCTGAACTGAAAGCGCGAAAAACATCATCAAATTTCGATGGCTGCGGGGTCAATGGCGTGTGCAACAGCAAAGGGCGTTGTCACTGCAGCCTGGGTTTCGCTCCCCCGCATTGCGACGTGCCTGGCTTCGGTGGCTCTCGTGACAGCGGACACATGGCTGACCCCACAGGTAAATTCTTCGGGGCGAAAAATATTCCCATGAGTTTCCTGAACTGAAAGCGCGAAAAACATCATCAAATTTCTAAGTACAGTGCGTTATGGAACATAGTTTGTCGAGATGTCATTTAGATTTAATGAATTTGCAGTCCAAATATTTTTAATGTTCCTGTTTATTTTGGAAAAAATCAACCAAGGAGTTCAAACTAAGTTTGTAGATGTTGCTTAACTACATCAAAGTAAGGAATTCTAATTAAAGATTCGTTGCGGCTCCGAACATCCAATTTCAGAGGGTGCATGAAGCGCCGTGCTATCATTTTGTTTCGGCAGCTACATTTAATTAAAAAAAATCAAACGAAAAATTTTTGAGTCTAATTTTATGATTTTTATATGTGCAGTAACTTCGAATACCGACCGCTCCCTCTATTTGATCTTCTTGGTAATTATACCGCTGATGTGCGGAATCTGCGCTTCGTTCTGCTGCCTCAGCGTCTCTTGGGAGAACTACAAGAAGCAGGAGCATTATCAGCCATCCATCTGTAATAACAAAATTGGAGCCTATTTGTGTTGTTTTTCTGCACAAGTGACAAAACTTCTGATCGAAAGTGGCATTATGGCAAAGCCTGGTTTACCGACCGAAAACATCGATGGTGATCCGTCCGAAATAGAAAAGCTGAACCCCTCGCCGTCACAACGTCGAAACACCATTTTCCAAGTTGACGTCAACGTTCAAACCTCGAAGCTCGCCAATAGCTCATGGGGCACAGCAAACGACGCTTTATTTACAGACGTAATAACAGTGACCCCAAAAAATTCGCCGGACTTGCACCGCAAAGTTCGTTTACCATCAGATTCTCCTTTGCTCCATCACAGATCTCAGGATATCGAGCAGCGTCCGAAGTACGGCAAATCATTTTCGTCAGATTCTGGCTGCGTGTCTGATTTGGAAGAACATCGTGGAAAACCTGACATGAATATGTCAATGTCAAGTCTAGTAAATATAGTCATGAAGTACGGAAGAGGTGACAGATCACGCGGAAGTAGTGCAGAACCTGAAATTCCAAATCCTAAGCAGTTCGTGACGCAGAAGTCAGTGCCTCTCAGTCGTTTAGTACTGGATCCGTATGGACCGAAATCAAACGTGAAAACAGCTGGAAACTCTTCTCTGGAAGTTCAGCGGCCTGGATTTAATAGATCACTTTCATCAGATGCTGCAACATCTCAGTCAGTAACTGCAGACTTGCCAAAAAGTGGTTATTTAACTCCAAAGAAATCAACTAGCTCAATTAATACCAATTCGAGTTCAGACAGTGAATCATTCTACGTAAACATACCATCTGAAATTAAAAAAGGAGGTAATATTGGGCGTTGTTCACCTCCTGAAGATCTGAAGGTGAAGAATCAGCACACTGTATTCAAAGCGTCGAGAAAAGCTCCCCAAATTCCCAAAATCAAAATAGAGGATTCTGATGCGAAAATTACCAAACATAAAAAAGGATCAATTAAACCAAATTGCGCTGACTCTAATCCGTCGGAACAAACCGAGTTGAAATCAGCAGCAAAAAAGCCAATGTTACCCCCTCAATCTAAAACTAGTAACAATAATCGTCCTCTACCCACAACAACGAACATTCCCGGGGTTACCCCAGGAATGGCGATGGACAAAATATCAGGAGGTTCAAAAGTATCACTTGATCAGCCTAAAGCTCGACCTCCTATCAAGGATACTGGATCTAGAAGCTTTCGTGAACAACCTTCACAAGGATCAGAAAATTCGAACGAGTTTCTGATTAAATTCAATCAAGTTAAGAACAAAGAAAGTAACACGAGTTCTGCTACACCTAGTGTAGCCGAACAAACGTTTTCACAGAGCGCGCCGAGAAGGCCGATGTTGCCTCCGACAAAACGTTCGTAATTCTCAAGAACTTTAATGCTCTAAAAAACGATTGTGTGCGCTGTGAATAAATTATTAATGGTCAAGTGATATTATGTACTAATATGTTCACAAACCTTATGATGGACGATATCCAGAAGAAGATTCTCGGAAGCTTCAGCCAGTAAAAGACTCACCTTAAAATTCGACATGTTAGAGAAAACGGGCAGGGTTATTAATTGCAGTGTCTGCGTGAGCCTAGTAGTAATCAATTTACATTATTAACCGTTTGAATGTGAAAGCAAACCGTAAATAAAAATTATTTATTCATTTGAAATATTGACAATTCATGCAACTTTCAATAAATTTAACTTCAAGATTGATTTAATGTAGTAAAATTCATCATCAGTGTCAACACAATGGCCGACGATCTGGCATAACACATATGACGACGATTATTTGAGAGATTTGACACACGTCGAATCAACAAGAACCAACTAGTGGGTGGTCACTGGTCAAGTCAATATATTTAACAAAACTGCCAAAATTTGGTTAATTTTAAAATGACGCGTTGCACTATTCCGCTGTAAATAGCATAACTGGCTTGAAATATCTTAACGGGATCTCAAGCATTGATTCTCTGAATGTTACTCATGTAACGCCTCCGCAACTTCCATTCAATCCCTGCTTTTATTAATACAGTAAAATTCACAGAAGCTCTGTAATTAACGTTATAGATACGCTAAAATTGTAACTTTTTAGGAATAAGTTTCTAAATTAATCGTAGGGGAGAATTTTTATCACGCTTGTCATAATTTTCTGTTATCGCAACGCGTTAGTATCTTTCCCATCTCTAATTTGTTGCTTTATACAGATATTCAATTTTTATTCATCGATGTGTTAGTTTCCTTTTTCGCCTTGATCTTACTTTTCAATACATTTGTCGCGTACAAAAAATGTAGTAATTTGTACTAAAAAACTTGTACATCCATTTATTTGATCTACGCGGTTTACATAAATAAAAACATAATGATACATTTTTATTTTATTAAAGATTTAATTATATTTAGCAATGGACTGAAAATAAAAATCCTGTGAATGTAAGAAGTAATTCAAATTTTTTTCACGAAAACGGAAGCAAACAGAGTTTACTTTATGAGGAAATTTACTGAGTGTACAGATAACAACACCGCATGCGGAGTAACGCTGAAATCGAAAGCGTACCGTATTCATAAAAAATTTGTTGTGTTCAAAGTAATCTATTTATTTAACAGGTTTGAGTGAAGACCAGAGAATTAATTTTATTGATCTAATAACACTTTTCCTTTGTCTCCAATCAAACTTATTTTTAAAAATGAAAAATTAGTTTCATTTGACTAATAAAACTTATTCCCTTACTTCAATCAAACCAGTTTTAAAGAACAAATTTTAGGATCCTATACAAATAATCTATCTATAAGAAGTTAATAAATGTATGCACATAAAATATGAGGCCAATATTTTACCGCGAAGCTCATTGAGATCAAGGCTCAACATTTTATGATAGAAATGTTGAATTTGTACCTACTTTTCGTGCTAGTATTTATGCTCTAAAATTCAAGTTTTATTCTGTATTTAATAACTAACTAATGATTCGATGCAATATAAAGAGATGAAATTTATTGAAATTAATTTTTTTACCTCTGAGATTTAACAATATCATCGATGATGAAAATTAATAGACATTTCATGGAACTAAATTTTAAACCTCCTGAGTGGAAATTTATGCTTCGCGCATGAAACTTGGAATATGAAAAATTTTTACGTGTGGGCAAGCGATATTTAAATTCTACATAATATTAGTCTATGAATTGATTACAAAGTTCAATTGATTAAGTAAAATTTAATGATGATACCAATTAATTACCTAAATCTGCGTTCCCATATCAGGATTCTACTTCCTATGATTTGTCAGCCACATTTCCTTCAATGATGAAATTATACAAATAAATAATAAACAAAGTAATTACCATTAGCTAGCAAGACATCTGCTTCGAAATTTACCGAAAATTTTTATTTTTTTAATGGAAACCCATTATATTGTTACTCGTACTGATTGTTGCACACGATAGCCCGTGTTCCTGGGTCAGCTGGAATATATTGCGGAGGCGGAGTTCTTTCCGTCGGAAGGCGGCTCCGTGGAATCAACAAAGCGTTCCGCGTCGGTCAGTTCGCTCTTGTGTGTCTCGACGTAAGGTTGGTGTTGCTGCGCTGCTTGGACTCCTCTCACTGGACTTCTGCCCCACGCATGGACTCTAGATCTGATCAAAAATATTCCATTTATTTCACGCACACGGTCCTTGAAATCGTTAATTTATTTGACTGGCTGATCCATATTTCTACGAGAAAGTAATTATGTGAAGTGAATTAATGTGCTAACGTTACCGTTCAGAATTAAAAACCAAATAAGTGACGTTAAATGAACTTAAATCATGGAAATGAAAGCCAGTCGTTTTAATCTAATGAGAGGCAAACCGCACTGATTTAAAAATTATCGCATTTACCTCATCGAGTGATTACCTACAAATTGTATCAGTGAACCCGTTTTGTGAACCTTAGTACCGAGTGGCGTCGGGCTTCACTACTGTTGTGGGCCACGGGACACCTAAGTATCATGGATACCGCTAAGGTGCGAGTGTCGTCCGTGAAGATTTCACTAGCTGTTCTTCCCTTGCTTCTGCTGCTCCTATGGCCTCCAGTCGCTGCCAACTGGATGTGAGTATTGTTGCCTAACAATTAATTATCAGGAGCGCTATTATGATCGGTTTACTTCAAATTGTATTTATAAATTATTTCGTTATTACTATCACGATAGTTGAGCCGTTAACATTTAAGGAATTGTATGACTTTCAGATGATCAGTCTAAAACTACAGTCAAACAAAACTAGACTGTTTCCCGGTTTCCGCGGTGTGCGTATCGGTTAATTTCAATTATTCCAATAAAGTAATATATTTTTAGCAATTATTTTTAATAAATATTTGTTCGCGAAAGAGAATGCATTAATCTTGATTAATTCCCACCCTTTCATCGGAGCACGCAAGTTTCAGTACCTACCAAATTTGTATTAAAACGTCCTGGCTGACGCGCAACGTTGTAACCATCCGCAACTGCTTTCTGGCTATGGCTTCCCAAGCCTAACCTCTTTGAGGGTCGTGAAATGTCTTTAGCTTTGTTCAAAAACTGCAAGATACCATGCTCTTGATCAGACAAAATATTGTTGAACTTTGTTGGAAATTTGCGCCATCCTATTTATATTTGCTAACGTTTGAAAACATCCGTTGGAACTTGAAAACAATTGGTTCAGCCTTTTGAATACTTCCGTAATCGGCTAGCCATTAATTTAAAAATTTCATGAACGCGAAAAAATATTAATAGTAAATAAGAAGTTTGTACCAGATTATTACCTCCTAATTCACATTTCTTAAAACTTGTTTTTCTGCCGAACCTCGGAAAATGTTGCTCAGCTATTCACGCAGCACCCATTTGCGGCGATGATAACTTCTCTTTGCATCAAACCCTTCAATTATTCTGTCAGAATCCATGATTCCTGGTAGTAATGGAATTTAATTAGCAGTCGGCACCAGGTTTTGGACGAGCTGGAATGTTCTGGCATCGTAATTAAGGCGACACAACAATCGCCACGGGCTCCACTGACGCCCCAGGCATCTCTCAAAAGAACTCGGTGCGGGGTCTCCGCTCTGCCATTTTTATTGCCGGGCTGATGACCAAGAATTGATCTTAGCAGTAAACAATTTATCACCTGACATGATAATTGACGATATTAGCTGGAATGTTCTGGCATCGTAATTAAGGCGACACAACAATCGCCACGGGCTCCACTGACGCCCCCGGCATCTCTCAAAAGAACTCGGTGCGGGGTCTCCGCTCTGCCATTTTTATTGCCGGGCTGATGACCAAGAATTGATCTTAGCAGTAAACAATTTATCACCTGACATGATAATTGACGATATTAGGATTCAGTTCTGTGCTAAATTTACTCTTAAAATTGCCTACAACTCGGCGTTTCTTGACGTTATCTGGAAAATATTTCTAATGGGTTTTATTGTTTCTGTTCATTTCGGCATCCAAGAGGTTTTGAAAACCTTATCTTGACATCGTTCGTTATTTTTCTGGTGAGCTTTAAAAGTGTTTCATAGCGTTCATTTATTTTATAGGTTTTACTACACAAGCAAGTGACATCATTTCATAATATCGTGAGAAGCACGGCTTTTGAATTCTATTTCGTTGTTTACTCTTCATTTTTACAACCTGATCAGGTACAGCAACGCTCGTAATTACTCCAATCGTATGCAGCTGTCTCTGATTGTTTCATTTGGTGGCATCGAGATATCATTTAGTTTCTTAAATGTCCATGGATCCGGCAGCAGACCTTCAGAATTCCTGTACCTGTTTCCTTAAGATCCTAAACCAACAGAACTCTGGATGCTACGCTCCTGTCAGATTACCAAGTGCGGTCGGTATTGGCCGACATGTTTGCCTAGGGATCGTCCCTACTAAATATGTACTTTAATTTGCTTGTAACCTGGATATTGCAAGCTGCCGGGTATCCTCCTAACCTGGCAATTGACTTCGTAGTCTATGTGGTGTAGTTTGGTTTAGTTTTTTCAGCATGCTCGAAAAAAATATGTTCAATAAAATTTTTCAAAAACTTGAAAACTTCGGGAAACTGAATCTTATAATTTATTAGGAATTGTACCTTAATTATCGAATCACCATGACTTTATTGCTGTTCCATTTTCATTTCCATTAATTATTTTTCATATGGCCAGGGATCACGTTTGATTGGAGCAAGATCTTATTATGAATTACTGAATATTAAAGCGATCCAATGTATAGATATATTCGTTTTGCCAGTTGACGAATGCCAGAAGCTCGTGATTTTTTTCCTTAGCTGCGAGACTCGGTGTGACGGTGCTAGTGCGTGTCCGATAGATTCAGTGTTAGTTTGCGGTAGGATTATACCATCGGTAATTCGATTTCAGTCACCACGTCTTCTCCTATTTTAGGATCACAAAGTGAACTCTCTGATTAAACACGTTTCAATCTTTCGAGGAACGTTTCGTGATTTCGAGCATCTCCACACTACATATAAGCATAGCAGTCGGCATCTAGAAATTAGTTATTCCCGATTGCTTGTGAACTTCGATCAAAACATTCACGCTGAGCATTCATTTACTACTATTCAAAGCTTTGCGAGGTATCTGGACAGGTAGAGGCTCTTTTGAGAGTTGCAGCTGTGGAGGAGGCATGGAAGGCTTTCTTGCGAATCCATCTTATGACTCCCTCGCCGTGGCTGCCACAGTACTGCGCTAGCAACTGTCTTCTTTCCTGATAACTCGTACCATCTAATTTACCTCTGCACCATACTTTCTGCTCACAGGCCTTCTACCATTTAAGGGTTAATATTTCTCAAATGGTAGGTATATATTTTTTCGACAGCGCGACTGCGCGAACCTCTGAGCGTAAGCTGCCTCATGCGAAATGATAAATAATGATGACTGCAATCTGTCAAATTAAATGACACAACGTGTTCTTCTATATGATCTTCACACTTATTGCTAAAAATCTTACCATATCTTGCTTGAATAATCAGTTTGTTTGGACAAGGCTAAAAAATACTCGATATACTCATAGTAATGAAGCAAACTTCTGGTAATGACGCTCTCTTCATTTTGCTTACGTAACATGGTTCTTCCAGAAGCCCAGCTAGATACATAGGCTTGATCGTAGCTTGCAATCATCAAGATTGTCCACTTCCAGCTGATCGCGTCTTGATAATCTCATCAGAACGATGCCGATGCTGAGCCCCGACCTGCTGATTTAAGTCTGCCATGTTAATCCCGCCCGCTGCCGTGCACGACATAGTCTTTAAGCTTTTAATGAAAAATGTTTTAAATACTTTATTTTTAATGAAAACTTATTTCTATTTTTAACGTATTTTTAATTAAAACTTGCTGCTTCTTCACCGATGAGATTCTAGATCCGATCAACTTGTTTCATCTTGTTTCTAAGGGTTACCCGTACGTGTTTATGTTAAAAAATATAACTCAGTACTCACTGCAATGAGCGACAGAGAGCGCATTTTCTCAAAATCGACGAAAACGTGAAGTCACGGACAGACGGACGGACGGACATGACGAGCACAATAGGGCATTTTTTCCATAAATGAGAAAATGCGCATGTGAATGCGTACTATTTTCATCTGAATTATGCTTCTTTAATTTACTTAATTAGTACTTAAATTATGCTATTTTAATTTACTCAGCAAATATAATTTACTTAATTTTGATTAATTTGATAGTTATCGCTCGTTTAAATAAAACCTCAATATGATACTCATTAAAACCATGAAAATTTATGAAACCAATAAATTTTTACGTTTATACTTCATTCTTGAATACGTACCTTTCGCAAATTTAAAGGCGACAGCCATATTGAGTGATCGAAATAGGCACGAATGATTTATTTTATCAATGTTCATAACTTTTACCCCGCCCTCTTTTACCTACCTTCGGTCTTATGTGTCTTCTATGTACCGTCGTTTGAACCTTCATGTTTAAAAGAGGGCTTCAATGATTACAATTGAAGCTCCGATGATCACAATGTTCCAGCGCAGATCGAAGAAATGCATCAACTGTGATATTGTAGATAGCCTGTGTTTGCTGGTGTGAGTGAAGGTATCGAATACGGTCGCTAAAGTGGACCCTGGCGGCTCCACTCACGTGGATAAGGGCACGCAAGCCATGAATAATCTATTAAAAGTTTGGCTTTTGGCACGCGATGCGTTATTGATGGCCACCCTAGAGTCCAAGCTTTGGCGTCCAGTTCATTGTTCTTTTTAACTGATGGAGTGTAGAAGTCCAAGGAGCACATCTCTCACCTGTAAATAAAACGCGAGATATACAAAATTATATTTCATTAAATTTTCAAAGCATTCCATCCCGTGATTTGAACTGTAAATCATCAGTTCCAAGGGAATTGACTGCTGGACGTTTTAACCGCAAGCCTACAGTGTGATTCTGATGAAAATTGGCACTGATTATTCTTCAAGTTTTGTTCATATCACTTCAACGCCTGATCGTACGTGGCACCTTCGCTCTGGCAACCATCGGTTCAAGGCTGCTCGTTTGCGGTCGTTTCGGAGAAGTGTGATTGTCACCTATTGTGCATTAGCACTCAGGCCACAATGCCCAGGTACTTTTTTAGTACCCACGACATTGTTCTCCGTACCACACCTTTAAACCGCGATGTACGGAGACTCGCGTTTCTCCTTTCTTGCTCGGTGGTCCCGTGAATTTATCTACACCTGAAGTTTATGCTTCACATTAGCCTCTCTGACATCTCTCCTTGCCTGTTCGTCGTGCAGCCTATGTTTTGCGATCTTGTGACTTTCGGTTCTATGGCCCATTTGTTTGAAATGCTTCTGTTTGAATTCTACGCACTCGCCAAAAATTTTCCGCCGAGTTTCACTGCGCGAGTCGCAGTAAGAGACTCAACAAGGGATTTGTTCACTAAAAATATTGTGTTTTGTCGTCAAAATTTTGTGCATTATGCGTATTTTAAAAATGGTTTTAAAGATTTTTGCGAAGCTCAAAAATGATTTTTCGTTAGCGTACGAGATCTGATTCTTTCTGTATGTTATAGGGTCGTCTTGCAGAGCATCACGCAACTCCACTTGAGATCGTAAAGTGAA